TCCCTACATAAAATTTTGTATTAGTCATCTCTGTGTGAGCAGGGTAGCCCTTCAGTGGACTGGTTAAAGCACATGAGCTTTCATACTGTGTAGCACCCAAGGAAGTAGTGTGGCTAACATTTACATATAGTCGTACTGACTAGCGACTATAGGAACTGTATAGGAAGAGAAGCTCTGGCACCTGGCCCATGAGCACACACTGCCAGAAGGAAGGTGCTGGGAGCTTGGGTGCACCCACACAAGGCTTAGGCAGCTGAAGGGCAGCTGTCTTACAACTCCCATCACCCATGGGGCATGTGACATCAGGATCTTCTCTGGGCCCTGGTCCAACTTGTCTGTGAGCCACTTGAGGCTACAAGGACAGATGGTAGCAGACCAAATGGGGCATACTCTACTGAGCTCGCCCATACTGCAGGGGATGTGGTCTAAGCTTTGAGATGCTGGGGTCAGTCACTCTACAAATCTGGGAGTTAAACAACTTGAAAACTTCCTGTCTAACACTGAAGCCAGAAGGTTCACTGCAAGTGGTGGCCAAACAGGCCCATGCTCAGCCTACGTTGAACTGCCTGGCATCCAAACCCTGTAAAGTAACCCCTTGCAAAACATTGGAAATTGTTTGTAACCCATTAAAAAAATTCCTTTTTTCTCCTCTCTTTTCCCAGTATCATTCTGAACCCTAACCCCAGACATCTGTTGGTACATGTCAAAGTAATAATTCCCTCATTGTGAGAGCACTGCAAAACTGAACTATATCACATGGATATTGGGAAACATCTGTAAGGTAGCCATGTCTTCTGACGCTATGCAAGAAAGAATGAAATTGCCGTGTGAATGTAAAGGGAATCAGATTTCAGGAGGATGGCAGTCACAAACAAACTTATGGTTGTTGCTATAAGGCCTCCCTGAGAGCTGATGCTGAATTAAAAGGTACATTTTTTCCAGGTCAGATCAGCAAAGATTTTTCACCATTCAAACCAGAACTGCCCTCCTGAGCTTGTGTTCCTCTCTGTAACAAACTCCCAGGGTAGCTCATGTCCTTTATTCACCATTTCTGGCAGCATAGCTGATGCCTGCTGGTGCTTCTGAAATGGTATCCCAGCAGTCAGGCAGGGTTAGTTTCTATAGTGACTGGAGATTAAAGAACCAAGCTTTAATCTGAATGTAATTTATCAGTCCACATTCAATTCACCTGGTTATTTCATGTCCATCTTCAAGTCTGCTACTTGGTTTCTTCCCAGCAACTCCCTATTGAAAGAGCAAAAATTATACAAGGACAGGACCAAAAAAAAACCCCCCATCTAGAGGCACAATGGTTCATATCTACAAGGCTGGGGACTCCCATCTTACTGAAGGGCCTGGCTAACAAACCGTCATAAGAACTGACCAGGGTAGTGTAGGTAATGTTTTGAGGAAGGCATGGAAAGGTAAATCTAATCAGTCCACAAGCTGTTTTTTTTTTCCCCACAGGAAACAAAATCAATTAATAGAAGCACAAAGAGACCCTCCCCAGTTTCAGCCCCATGCAAGCTATTTGCACTGGTGTTTTAGCCCAGCTTTCATCTTCCTACATTCTATTTAGACCTACAGTCTGTCACAGGACTTTCCTGTGCAAATGAGCATTAAGAGCTGCGCTGAATGCCACCAGCTCAGGAAAATAACTGCTGTGCTTATTTTGCATTCACTTTGCATTGGCACAAGCCACTGTGTTGGACAGAGACCAGTGAGGCCCAAAATGTTTTCTCCTGTGCAAGCAGTGAACTGATTTTAAGTTGGCATATTGATCACCTGAAACTCTAGAGCTTTATTACAGTGATAGCTCAGATAAGTGTCCAAAACAGAAGCCCCTGTAATAAGTGTTGGCTCCTGTCCGTAGATACATGTAGGTCTACAGATCTGGATTGCGCATGCACAAAAACATTGTGCTGTCTGGCTTTCAAAGGTACTGAGCTCCTTTGGCTTCAGTTGTTCTGAAAAAACGGAGAAGATGCTACAAAAGCTATGATAGAAAAGCCATTCCCTGAATATGTATTTGTAGATTTGCAATGTTCCCCTCTTAGAATTAGTGAATATAAAATATTTTTTGAAAATGAATTATACAGTACAAGATCAAATATGTAGAAATATATTGCAGAAAGTCCTATTAGAAGGTATATAAAGAAGGAATATAATTAATAAGCCAAAACATCAACACCTAGTACCTGCAGAGAGGGATAATTGTACTCTAATTTTTTCCTTGGCTACTTGGTTCATCACTTACGTGTGTTGTCCAAAACCACACATTTCCTGTGAACTTTTGAATCTGATATTCTTAATCATGTTGTAGTTATTAGATTTATGTGTTTAAAGCCAGATTTAATGTCGGCTGGAGACCTAACACTAACAATTTGTTACTTACTTGGATACTTGTTATTAATAAATAAGAAAAAATTGAATTAATAAATATTTTGAAGATAAATGCCACCATGTATGCTGTTTGTTTACATTGTAGATGCTCTGAAGTTAGCCAGTGGGATTCAGCTGGTCAGGTTCACTTGCTGCTTTTGGTCTGTTTCGCTTTTTGTTCTCATGTGCTGACATGAGATCCCAGCGCTTGGTTGTTCAGCTTTGAAAAGGAGGAGAGGTGAAAAATGGTTTAAAGAGAAATTTTAAAAGACGTCTTACTAGTTCTGCAAAATGTTTTTTTAGGAGATAGATAGGGGAAGGAACAAAGTTCTCATCAGCTTTAAATAAAATGTCCTCGTTTCCTAGATCCTGCAAATCGTGCAACACCCAGCCAGACCTTAGATGACCAATTGTTTATGAAAAGGCATAAGGCTTGTTTGACTACCGAAGCATCCGAGAAGGAAGGCGGTAAGGAGGGAGAGGCCCTTGACAGATGATACATCCATCACGCTCCTCACTCCTCAGCAGAGCTCTGTGTCAGTGGTGCGTATTCGCTTTAGCAGGCAAAGCTTCACCATCTCTTATTTCTTGCCTTTAGATTTTCTTGGCATGTCAGGATGCATGTCCTCCCTGCACACCCTGTGACTGTAACTTCAAGTGGCAGTGCTTGAATTCATACAGCTCTTGCCTTCCCTGTATACCCCAACGTGTCATAGCCAGGCTCTGCTCTAGCTTCAGGACACACTGGAACGTGACCTGGGGGAGGGACAGGGGGAGAAGAGGAAAGATAGCTGGGGGTGGTGAGGGAGGGATTTGAGTGGGAAAGATATTGGCTGGTGTTCATTAATTCTTGAGCTTTACGTGAAAAAATGTAAGAAGTAGTGAGCACTGGTTTGAAATAAAAGTCAAGTTGTATAAATTCCAACTTTTTGGCGACTAAATACATTAATTGCATCAGACAAATACAGATCAAGGCAGAATTTTCATTGAATCAGCTTCCAGAAAGGGTGCAGCCTTCTAAAAATACACAAGCACAGTCGTCCTCGATAACATTGCTGTTCAGATGAAGAGAGATGGTCAGGTCAACTGAAGCAGTGTCTTTGAGATCCTGGTCTTTGGTGTCTTCTCAGAGCACTTCATCTAACTCACTGTTAGATGAAAATGATGGTGGAAAACGAGAAGCAGCTGATCAAGGAGCCCTTCTGAAATATGTACAATACAGTTTGACTATTCTGGAAGTTTCTGTATCATCATCACAACCCTAAGCAACTATTCCGTATGGCAAACTAGAGGCCACAAACCAATTTGCAACCTGATGCCATCTATGACTCCTTCCTAGAGCATGATGTTACATAGAGAACCTCAGTGACTGCCACCCATCAGGGACTTCAAATGGGAGTTCAGGTAACCACGTTGTCAGGGTTGGAGGAGCAATGAAACACCTGCACCGAGATACCTGGGACAGTAGCTACTGCTCAAGGCAAACAGCCACACAGTGGAGCTCAGACACGGCAAAGCTGTTCCGTACAAGGCCCCTCTCGGGCAACAGCTACAGCAGCAGGGCCTGCAGGGCTCAGTGGTGCCTTGTGCGTACGGGAGAAGAAACGTACAGGGAGAAAACATTTCGAAAAGGCGCTAGGAGAGGAGGGGGGCAGAAGACCTGCTGTCTACAGTTCTGGATGCTGGAAAGGTGCTTAGGAATTACAAGCAGTACAACTGTTTATTTGCACCATGGTGGTCATTAACGCCGGACTGTGCGCACCGCTCTGCGGCCAGCCGGCACGTCTACGCGTGTCAAGAACAGACCTCCAGTCTGGTGGAGCAGCCGGCCCAGGCAGGCTCCCCTGGGGCCCCGGAGCCTTCCTGGAGGCCGTGTCCGGTGGAGGGGACAGCTCCTCCGGGGCTCCCGGCTCCTGCCAAGGGGCGCAAGAGTAACCTCGGCGTTTCCCCGGGGAGGGCCTCGCTGAGCGGGGGCCACGAAGCTGCCCATGGCGGAATGCGGCCCGCGGCCCGCTCGCTAACGGGCGCCTCCCTGCAGGCCGCA